TATACACAGTGTTTGAGGCCATGAGATGAAGAATCATATTGATTTTCAACGATTTTGGATAAATGCTGCCAGAGTTATGGCCCTTCATCACTTTGAAAAATCTTGTGACACTCTAGATTCTAAAGTTATCATCCAATTGACTTCAGATTGATACACAGAGTTTAAGGTCTTGAGACGAACAAGTATATTGATTTTCAATGAATCTTTATAACTTGAACAGCTAAATCCTTGATGTTAAAAGTTTCGTATACTAAACGTTAGCATGGGGCAGAACTTTATAAAAACCAAACAAATTCTAATGGTTTTCTGATAATTACTTAATGAGTTGTTACTCTTAATCAGATTTTAATGTATTATAAATGTTTCATTACCGAAAAAAGTAAAAATATGCGACAACTCTTGTTGTCTGCCCCAATCACCAATATGTATCAACCCTTGTCGACCGCACAGACGATTTAGCTGCTGTGGGCGTATGTTTCGTTGCCTGACAACTTATCTTTTGATTTTGATGAAACCTGAAATGTGTGTTTATAACCCAAAGATATTGGGTCCTTACGATATTCGCGCATATTGGACCGTAACTTCCTGGATTATGGCCCCTAAATTGTACGAAAAATCACGTTTTTTAGCTTTTGGAACCTCTAGAGGTCACAATTTTTCTCTGATTTAAAAAAAAACGTTTTTATCACTGTTACAGACTAATGATGGTGGTGTTCAAATTTTGTGAAAATCAGACTGAAACTGCTTGACAAAATGGCTGCTACTTGTACGCAAATAGTGTAGTAGTATGTAAATGTAATACCAAATTTGTGGACCCTCTAGAAGCCACAGTTTGTATCTGATCTTGGTGAAACTTAAGATATATGATTATATCCAAAAGGTCTCGGTTCCTTCCTTTTGACATTTGCATATCTGACCGTAATTTGATTATGGCCTCTGATTGTACAAAAAATCGCATTTTTGTTTAGCTTGTTCTCTGTCGATCTCTTGCAAAATGTGGGATAATCTTACCTGGCCACCGCTGGTTTAAACTTAGTTTTTATACGCCCACATTTTCATGTGGACGTATTATGCCGTCGCCCCTGTCCGTCCGTCCACAATTGTTTGTGGACACTCTATAGGTCACAATTCTTATCCGATTTTGACAAAACTTGAAATATAGGTTTATCTCCAAAAGATCTCGGCTGCTTTCGATATTGGCATGTATCGGATCGAAACTTCATGGATTATGGCCCCTGTTTGTACGAAAAATCACGTTTTTAGCTTGTGGACACTATAGAGGTCACAGTTTTTATCCATTTAAAAAACCGTATTATTATATCACCGTTACACCCAAATGTAAGTTGATAACCCAAAGATCTCGGTTCCTTTCGATATTCGCGCATATCGGACAATAACTTCCTGAATTATGGCCCCTGATTGTACATAAAAACGCGTTTTTTGGCTTGTGGACCCTATAGAGGTCATAATTTTTATCCGATTTAAAAAAAAACGTATTATTATATCACCGTTACATTCAAGGACGAATGATTTTGAATTTCGTGAAAATCGGCCCAAAATTGACAGACAAAATGGCCGCCGTTCGTTCTCAACTAGCGTAAAAATATAGTATATCAAGGTTGTGGACCCTATAGAGGTCACACTTTTTATTCGATTTTGTTGAAACTTGAAATGTAAGTTTATAACCCAAAGATCTCGGTTCCTGTCGATATTCGCACATTTTGGACCGTTACTTCCTGAATTATGGCCCCTGATTGTACGAAAAATCGCGTTTTTAGCTTGTGGACCCTATAGAGGTAATAATTTTTATCCGATTTAAAAAAACGTATTATTATATCACCGTTACACCCTAAGGACAGCCGAGTTCGAATTTCGTGAAAATCGGCCCAAAATTGACAGAAAAAAATGGCCGCCGTTCGTTCTCAAATAGCGTAAAAATATGGTATATCAAGGTTGTGGACCCTAAAGAGGTCACAATTTTTATCCGATTTTGTTAAAACTTGAAATTTAAGTTTATAACCCAAAGATTTGGTTCCTTTCGATATTCGCGCATATCGGACCGTAACTTCCTGAATTATGGCCCCTGATTGTACGAAAAATCGCATTTTTAGATTGTGGACCCTATAGAGGTCATAATTTTTATCCGATTTAAAAAAACGTATTATTATATCACCGTTACATTCAAGGATGAACGATTTTGAATTTCGTGGAAATCGGCCCAAAATTGACAGACAAAATGGCCGCCGTTCGTTCTCAACTAGCGTAAAAATATGGTATATCAAGGTTGTGGACCCTAAAGAGGTCACAATTTTTATCCGATTTTGTTAAAACTTGAAATGTAAGTTTATAACCCAAAGATCTCGGTTCCTTTCAATATTCGCGCATATCGGACCGTAACTTCCTGAATTATGGCCCCTGATTGTACGAAAATTTAGATTGTGGACCCTATAGAGGTCATAATTTTTATCCGATTTAAAAAAACGTATTATTATATCACCGTTACATTCAAGGACGAATAATTTTGAATTTCGTGAAAATCGGCCCAAAATTGACAGACAAAATGGCCGCCGTTCGTTCTCAACTAGCGTAAAAATATGGTATATCAAGGTTGTGGACCCTATAGAGGTCACACTTTTTATTCGATTTTGTTGAAACTTGAAATGTAAGTTTATAACCCAAAGATCTCGGTTCCTTTCGATATTCGCGCATATCGGACCGTAACTTCCTGAATTATGGCCCCTGATTGTACGGAAAATCCCGTTTTTAGCTTGTGGACCCTATAGAGGTCATAATTTTTATCCGATTTAAAAAAACATATTATTATATCACCGTTACACCCTAAGGACGACTGAGTTCGAATTTCGTGAAAATCGGCCCAAAATTGACAGACAAAATGGCCGCCGTTCGTTCTCAACTAGCGTTAAAATATGGTATGTCAAGGTTGTGGACCCTACAGAGGTCACAATTTTTATCCGATTTTGTTGAAACTTGAAATGTAAGTTTATAACCCAAAGATCTTGGTTCCTTTCGATATTCGTGCATATCGGACCGTAACTTCCTGAATTATGGCCCCTGATTGTATGAAAAATCACGTTTTTAGCTTGTGGACCCTATAGAGGTCATAATTTTTATCCGATTTAAAAAAACGTATTATTATATCACCGTTACACCCTAAGGACGACTAATTTCATATTTCGTGAAAATCGGCCCAAAATTGACAGACAAATGGCCGCCGTTCGTTCTCAAATAGCGTAAAAATATGGTATATCAAGGTTGTGGACCCTATAGAGGTCACACTTTTTATCCGATTTTGTTGAAACTTGAAATGTAAGTTTATAACACAAAGATCTCAGTTCCTTTCGATATTCGCGCATATCGAATTGTAATTTCCTGAATTATCGTCCTTGATTGTAGGAAAAATCACTTTCTTGTTAGCTTGTTCTCTATCCATCTCTCGAAAATGTGGGCGTATCCTGCCTGGCAGCCGCTGGTTTTAATGAGAAACAACAAATGTTTTTAAAGACATGCTTTGTTGGCTATTGAGCTAAATATTTCATAGAACCAATGAACTACACAATAATGATATTATACTAGTCTTTTAGAGGCATAACTGGATAGAGTAATAAACTATTACACATAATAAAATAATATAATGGGTACTTATGAAAAACAGCTACTGTCGTACTGATATTCAGTGATATATTAGGGCGACATTTTGAAGAGTAATCGCGCAATGTTATCAAGCTAATACTACTGCTTTTATTTGTTTGAATACAGTATCTAGTAAGAAATTAACTAATGTTTCTTTCACTTTCACGTTTAGTTTATTCTGAACCTCTCACTAAATACTGCAAAAAAGGAAACTATTTTGTTTAGTCTGTAAATTCAGCTTTGTGTATTGTATCAAATGAGCTCAGTGTTTGGCAGAAATATTCTGCTAAAAATAATATGTTCTTTTGACATGCAAGTTACTTTTCATTAAGACAAGATTTTAACATTTGCCAGAACCATGAATAGAATATTATAGAGGTAGAAGATTGGTATTTATTTAAAGGAGCTAAATCGCTAATATTCGAGACCAAGAAATGAACACAAATGGGTCGCACATATAATAATGTAATATGAATGTATATTAAACTGATTTACATTCCATCGTTTCTAATTTAACTATAATTTTTAATCAGTTATATTCGGCGAAATACGACAGAAGTCTCAATCGAATGACAATCTCTAGCGTCTTGTTATTCCAGTCTACACCGATAGTATTTATTGCGCATGCTCTCCAGATAAGAATATGGTGTCACCGTTTGACATGACTTGTGGAATATGTCTTGACTCCCTTGTTACAAAGGACGCTGAAACGGATTATGGTACACGATTCGTGTACCAATGGTAAAATGTTTATTTTGTCTTAAATATTGGATATCAGAAGATCACAACATCAATGTTGATTTAAATTGAGAAATAATTCGTGTTTTCAGTGTCCAAGACTTTGCATGATATTGAGTTAGAGACTTAGCTACTTTAAGATAAAAAAGTTGTTTACAATTACCATGGACAAAGGTAATAACTTTATCAACATGATAAAGAAAATGGCACATAGAATGATTTAACTTAAATATGCATTATGGGAGATTAGATAAAGAGCTGGCAGTTCTCACTATAATAGTTAAAAACTAGATAATGTAAAGGCAATTTGCTGAAAATTTCAGTCATATTGATCCACTATGAACCGAGTCTTGATTATCTATTTCATGATTAAATCATAAATGAAAGTTGAGCAGCAAATCGGATCATAATCCAACAAATATCGCAGACTAGCATTGACATCGAGAGTTGATTATGGTCTTGATAAGTTAATTAATGTCTAATTAATAATTTAGATAACATTTCATGACTAAAGAAAGATCTGCAATAGGCAGATTTAGCTCTTGCCTAATGTATGTTTAATATAAATATTTCAAGATGGCTGATGGATGTTGTAATTTGTGTAATTTCAGTTCTGGTCAGGATGTACAGAGAATTTGTGTTATCAGCAATCTACCTGATCTGATCAAAAATAATAATGATGAATGTATGCGAAGAGTTGTTCCTAAAGTCAGGGTAAGTGCACATTTAAGTTTAAGGGTTTGGATTTAGAAACATTTTGTTCTAGTGTAATTAAGTTTAATTTTTTAAAGACATACATTTAATGGAGTAGACTTTCTTCATAATTTCTTCAAAACATTTAATTATTAATAAATTTGTAGGCTTTCAGACTGTTGTTGTCCCCTGTTCGTCTGTCTGTCTGTCACACTTTTTGGGACACAATAACTCTCCTTCTAATTGAGCTAGAATGTTCAAACTTGGTGTAGGTTTTTATTAGGTCAATGCCTTGATGGAGTTCGAAGATTAGCATTTTTTGCTTATAGGGTAAGCATATTGAATATGCAGTAATTTAGTTTGAAATTATCTAATACAATGTACAACACACATGGAATCACCCTATAGTTTTATTAAATCAATACCTGCTTAGGCAAAGTAGAGACTTCAATCTGATTGGTCAAAACGTTGGAACACAATAAATCTCCTTCCAATTGAGAATGTTCAAAATTGGTGTAGGTGTCTATAAGTATTACGTGAATGCTTTGACATAGTTTGTTCATGTGCATTTTCCACTAAGACTAAACAGAGATGAGCAATTTGATTGTTTGAGACTTTGGAACACGATAACTTTGGTTCTGATTGGATGGGAGCGATGAAACTGAGTTTAGATTCATTATATCAATACATTGACTACGTTCAATGATGAGAATGTTCTGTATAGACTAAGTAGCGATAAGCAACTTATTGGTCAAGACTTTTGAACATATTCTGTTATTTGAGGTATAAATGTTCATTAGGCAAATGTCTTGACAGAATTCAATGGTTAATATTTCTGATAAAGCTAAGCAGAGCCAAGCAATTTGATTGGTTGATGCTTTGGGACACGATAACTTTAGTTCTAATTAAAAGTGAGAGTGGGCAAACTCGGTGTATAGTTTCATTACATCATTTATTAGGTCGATGCCTTGATGGAGTGCGAAGATGGGCATTTTCTGCTTAGGGCAGAAAAAACAGGAGACAAGCAATGAAAAAACAGGAGAATCCAGGAGATTTTGTTTTCATCAAATAACTTTTTCTGTCCCCCGCCTTTCGAAGAAAGCAGGGGACTATTAAAATGGGTTCGTCCGTCTGTCTGTCCGTCTGTCTGTCCGTCACACTTTTTGGGACACAATAACTCTCTTCCTAATTGAGCTAGAATGTTCAAACTTGGTGTATGTGTTTATTAGGTCAATGCCTTGATGGAGTTCGAAGATGAGCATTTTCCGCTTAGGGTAAGCAGAGATAAGCAATTTGATTGGTTGATGCTTTGGGACACGATAACTCTCTTCCTAATTGGGCTAGAATGTTCAAACTTGGTGTATGTGTTGATTAGGTCAATGCCTTGATGGAGTTCGAAGATGAGCATTTTCCGCTTAGGGTAAGCAGAGATAAGCAATTTGATTGGTTGATGCTTTGGGACACGATAACTTTTAATTGAGCTAGAATGTTCAAACTTGGTGTATGTGTTTATTGTCCCCCGCCTTTCGAAGAAAGCAGGGGACTATTAAAATGGGTTCGTCTGTCTGTCTGTCTGTCTGTCCGTCACACTTTTTGGGACACAATAACTCTCCTTCTAATTGACCTAGAATGTTTAAACGTGGTGTAGGTGTTTATTAGGTCAATGCCTTGATGGAGTTCGAAGATAAGCATTTTCGGCTTAGGGTAAGCAGAGATAAGCAATTTGATTGGTTGATGCTTTGGGACACGATAACTTTAGTTCTAATTAAGTGAGAGAGATTTAACTTGGTGTATAGTTTCATTACATCAATACCTTGACTAAGTTCGATAATGAGCATTTTCTGCTCAGGGTAAGCAGAGCGATAAGCAATTTGATTGGCCGAGACTTTGGAACACAATAACCCTCCTTCTAATTGAGCTAGAATGTTCAAACTTGGTGTAGGTGTTTATTAGGTCAATGCCTTGATGGAGTGTGAAGATAAGCATTTTCTGCTTAGGATAAGCAAAGATAAGCAATTTGATTGGTTGATGCTTTGGGACACGATAACTTTAGTTCCAATTAAGTGAGAGTGATGAAACTTGGTGTATAGTTTCATTACATCAATACCTTGACTAAGTTCGATGATGAGCATTTTTTGCTCAGGGTAAGCAGAGCGATAAGCAATTTGATTGGCCTAGACTTTGGAACACAATAACTCTCCTTCTAATTGAGCTAGAATGTTCAAACTTGGTGTAGGTGTTTATTAGGTCAATGCCTTGATGGAGTGTGAAGATAAGCATTTTCTGCTTAGGGTAAGCAAAGATAAGCAATTTGATTGGTTGATGCTTTGGGACACGATAACTATCTGATAGAGAGTGATGAAACTTAGTGTATAGTTGATAATCAGTTTGATTGCTTGATACTTTGGAAAAAAAATAGATGTGCGATTAATTAATATTTGTCATCTATTTATTTGGGGATTTCGGCGGGGGACATCAGCCTCACTGTTGGCTTGTTTATTAATCATTAATATTAAAAGTCTTTAGCACTTTATACACTGTGCACTCATTTTTGCGGCGTACAACAAATGATATTCTTTTGGGGTTTGAGGTCAATATTTTAAATGACAGAAAACATTTTTTTGAAATATTTTGGGTGACGTCATAAGCGGTATAGAATTGCTTTTACCAATTTTAAAACTGAAATCTGCGAATGCCAGCTAAAACTTATAAAATTTGTAATAATTTGAATGATAATAAAAATATTTATGATCTTCATGATATCAGATAAAAAGCAGGCTACATTTAGTTGAAATTAGCAAATTTCATTCTGCAAAACCTGTAACTGGGTGAATGGAAATTCCCAGAAACGTTACATCAGAGCAATAATTTCCCGCAAGTGTCTCTCTTACATAAACGGTAATTGCGCTTATAAGTTATATTTCTATAACTTTTGATTCAGATTATTTGCATATATTGAGATCAATATTAAAGTATTATAATACAATATATTTAAAGTTGGCTAAATTTCAGTCAATGGCTACCAATTTCACTCTAAAGTCACGTAGCCTGACATGTTTTCTCTTCGTGGGAGAATTGTCAAAATCGCATAGATAGAGGTTTATTAGCCATGGGGAAAAATGACAGTAGTGGAAAGAACCTTGTATGGGTCTCTATTTTATCAGGTATGCTCATGTACTGTGCTACCATTACAATATACTTTATTTACTCCAAACTATAATAATCACAAACACACATTGGGCTGTCAAGCATATTACACTGTAACCCAGGTATCATTTAATCTTGTGTATCTAGCACTAATTTCTTTCACATTCGTTTAATATCCAATCTTTGTTTAAAAATTCATAAAAACTGTTTAAAATCACCATAAATCATTTATTTTGTACTGCTGTCCAGTTTAAAGGACAATATTGGTGCCAGTCATTATCACATATGTGATAGAACTGGTTAAACACGTTCCAAATATTATTTTATCACAGAGATCATTGCTACGATAGATGAGTAATCAATGTTTCAACAATAGGAAGTGACGAACGCAAAAGGAAAACACGAGTTATCCCTTTATATAACTGAATGAAGTGACGGGTGATAACAGATAAATGGGCGAATTTCTGCTCACTAAAACTTCCTTCGAAGACCAAAAGTTGTCAATTTCTGGGTCCTAGACAATGGCAATGTAATATCAAGATTGTGCAACCTCTAGAGTCACTATTTTTGTCCTTTCGATATTTGTGCATATAGTAGTAACTTACTGGATCATGGCCCCTGATTCTCTGGAAAATCTTATGTCACAATTTTGATCTGATTTTGATGAAACTTGCAATAAATGTTTATAACCCAAAGATCTTGGTTCCCTTCGATATTCGCGGGTATCAGATGGTAACTTCCTCAATTATGGCCCTTGATTGTACAAAAAATCACGTTTTTAGCTTGTGGTCCCTGTAGAGGTCACAATTTTTATCCGATTTAAAAAAATGTTTTAATATATCACCATTACACCCCAATGACGGTTGACAGACAAAATGGCCACCATTACACACTAAGGTCTTGGTTCCTTTTGATAATCACGCATATCCGAATGAACTTCCTGGATTATGGCCCCTGATTGTTCGAAAAATTGCATTTTTAGTTCGCGGATTCTTTAGAGGTCACAATTTTTTTTCCGATTTTAAAAACCGATTAAATATACCATTCCACCATAATGAAGGTTGAATTTGAATTTCAGGAAAATCAAAATGAAACTGCCCAACAAAATGGCCGCTTTTTGTGTAAAAGGAAGGTTGTGGACCCTCTAGAGGTCACAATTTTTATCCGATTTAGATGAAACTTAAAACATATCTTTATATCCCAAAGATCTCAGTCCCTTTTGATATTTGTGCATTTCAGAGCATAACTTTCTGGATTATTGCCCCAGATTGTACAAAAAATCCTGTTTATATTTAGCTTGTTCTCTATCCATCTCTTGCAAAATGTGGGTGTATCCTGCCTGGCAGCCGCTGGTGTTTTACTTGAGTACATCGAATTATGACAACAGGTAGATATTGATAATTAAAACACATTGTGTCTCACGAATTACGACATCCAAACCTTTAACATTGGTCTGGGTGACCTATTTACGGCAGATATACAAATTCAAAGACCGTAGAATTGTAAAATGAATAGACCTACACTTCTAAATATAAATAAACAAAATACCAAAACTTCTTTCTTTAAACTAATTTGGGATGATAGGGTCTACTACGGCACACAAAAATAAATTATGCCGTGGCAGACCTGGTTTGCGTCGGCCTTTACCATGGCTTTGCGGTTTGTCGTGGTAAATTTTGAGCACTGAGTTTGTGTACAGAGAAGAACGAAGGGGTTTAAATATGACTGGGCAGCTTTCTTCGATTTTTTCTTTGTGATGGTCATCAAAAAATAGTGCAGCGCCCGGCACCGCCCAACGTGGCTATATCCCTGGTCTGTTTGTATACTTATTCCTTATACCCTAAGGATGACTTCTGTTATTTTTGGTGCATGCCCGACCCCCAAGGACAGAACCAGGCCCAATTTTTATACGCCCACAATTAAATGTGGTCGTATATTGTCGTTGCCCCCGTCCGTCCGTCCGTCCGTCGGTCCGACATCCACAATTGCTTGTGGACGCTCTAGAGGCCAAAGTTAATATCCGATTGACCTTAAATTTATACACAGTGTTTAAGGTCACGAGGCGAAGAATCCTATTGATTTTCAAAGATTTCTGATAATTACTGCCAGAGTTATGACCCTTGATCACTTTGAAAAATCTTGTGGACGCTCTAGAGGCCAAAGTTAATATCCGATTGACTTTAAATTTATACACAGTGTTTAAGGCCATGAGACGAAGAAACCTATTGATTTTCAACGATTTCTGATAATTACTGCCAATGTTATGGCCCTTCATCACTTTGTGACGCTCTAAAGGCTAAAGTTATCATCCGATTGACTTCAGATTGATACACAGAGTCTAAGATCTTGAGACAAACAAGTATATTGATTTTCAATGAATTTTTATGATTTGAACAGCTAAATCCATGATATTAAAAGTTTTGTATACAAAACGTTAGCATTAGGCAGAAATTTATAAAAACCAAACAAATTCTAATGGTTTTCTGATAATTGCTTCATGAGTTGTTGCTCTTAATCAGATTTTAGTGTATTATAAATGTTTCATTACCGAAAAAAGTAAAAAAATATGTGACAATTCTTGTTGACTGCCCGGACGATTTAGCTGCTGTGGGCGTATGTTTCGTTGCCTGGCAACCTATCTTTATATGCGTCTGTGTGTCGCCTATAGGCCGCATTTCTTAACGGATCGTCATACTTATTCCTCATACTCTAAGGGTCATCCATATTGTTTTTGGTGCATGCACAACCCCTAGGGGCACAGCCACACCTGTTTTCTCTTTGTGTGTCTTTGTGTCACCTACAGGCCGCAATTCTTAATGGATCATCTTGAGAACTTTTCATACTTATTCCTTATACACTAAGGATGACCTCTATTGTTTTTGGTACATGCCCGACCCCAGGGACAGAGCTAGGCACAATTTGTGTGTGTGTGTGTGTGTCTCCTACAGGCCACAATTCTGAACAGATCTTCTTGAAACTTTGCTTACCTATTCCTTATACCCTAAGGGTGATCCCTATTGTTTTTGGTGAATACCTGACTCCCATTGACAGAGCCACACCCATATTTTCTTTGTATTTTCCGATTTAGTGCCTTTTTGGACGCCTCTATCTTGAAAACTACTCCAACGATTTTTATTAAACTTTCTCTATCGACAGTGCCTTGGGTGGCGTTGTGAAGGAAGACGTCAAATAAGACTTTGAAATAATTGGTATAGGACAAAAACAGGGCTGAAAATCGAAAAAAGTTGAAAAATCTTTAAATTTTGAAAAATGAGCTATTATTTTTTTTTGTATTTTTACATATTTTCAAAAAAGGTTTATATATTCATATAACTGATCTATTGACGATTCTAATGATGTATTGTTATTGAGTTAGTGTTTTCGATATTTGGCACTTTTGAACATAGATTTCTCTGGGTGATTTCATCTGATCAGATAATGTAGTATATCATTTTAGAGCCCTGCTACAAATCAAGTGTCCAAATTGGTTGTGTAAACTACCCCGACAATGATTCCTATACTGGAATAGTCAAAAAAATGAAAACAAAAGGTAAAGAAGTTGGTGCTCTCGCGAAAAACTTGATTTCTCCATCGGATGTCACCGGATCAAAACAACAAAAGTGTCGTTGGATAGCCCCATTAATGAACTATCGTATGACATCCAAATGATATATATTGAGTGGTGCCAAAAATTTAAAATTTTCCAATTTGAAACGCGTATTTCTTGAAAAGGACACCTAAAAATTTTCTTAAACTTTTCTTAATCTGAGTCCTATCGGTTGTCTAGGGTGTGAATCCAAATATAAAAGCATTAAAATAGTATAAGTGGTCCAAAATAGGCCTCCATCTTTGAAAAAAGTTGAAAAAGTTAAATCACTAATATAAGAATGCTCTTCTATTTCCTTTTTTATACGCCCACATAGAAATGTGGACGTATATTGCTGTCGACCCCGTCCGTCCATCGTCCACAATTTCTTGTGAACGATCTAACGCCAAAAGTTATCATCCAATTGTTTTAAAATTGATATATGTTGTTTACATTATCCTATTTTTGTGAAATTTTTATGCATTATTTAAATAAGTGAAACGAAGAAGCTTATTGAATTTCAGCAATTTCTGTTTATTACGTCTAGAGTTATGGCCCTTGTTTCACTTTATTGAACTTTGTGAATGCTCTAACATCAAAAGTTATCTGCTGATCTGTATGAAATTTACATGCGTCATTTAAATTAGTAAAGAGAAGAATCCTATTGAATTTCAGCAATTTCCGTTTATTACTTCTAGAGTTATTGCCCTTGTTTCACTTTGTTCAACCTTGTTAATGCTCGCTTGATGAAAGTTATCATCCGATATGTATGAAATTTATATGCATCATTTTAATTTATGAAACGAAAAAGCCTGTCAAATTTCAACATTTTCTGTAGATTACTTCCAGAGTTGAGACCCTTGTTTCAATTTGTAGAACCTTGTGAACCCTAAAACGGCAAAAATTATAATCTGATCTGTATGGAACTGTCTTGTAAAGGCCCCCAATTACCTACAAAGGAATAAATATGCGACAACGATGTAGCAGCTGTGGGCGTATGTTTCATTGCCTGGCAACCTATCTTTTTCAAAACTGCTCAATGGATGTTTCTGAAACTTCTGTTACAAGAACTTAAGTGCCCATACCACGTGTTAAAACTGTCCTGACAACGATCTGTAAACCGCAAGTGGTCGAAAAAATAGCCGATATTTTGACTATGCAATTCTAGCTGGAATTATTATTCTAAAAGCTTAAAGAGGTCATCATTTGTCTTGTAAATTTATCCTGTGCTAGTATACTATACTATTCAAAAAAAGTAGGGAATATTTGATTTTGGGGGCATAATACTAAAATATGCAAATGACTACGAAAAAAGTCACTATAGAACCTAACAGAAGAAACATTTCCAGTTACATGTGACGCCCAAACGCACCAATAGCTACCGCATGGAATGCAGGTGATGCTTGGGATCATCATGGGGGTCCAACCCAAGATTTGAACGACTCTGACTTTGAATGTTACAGTCATTGTGGCATTGAATTCCAGGGTGGAAACATCAGTTTAATTGTTTTAGTGACCAGAAAACAAATTTTGATATGCGTCGGCTTACCCAAAATGAAAGGTTACGTGCCCTTGGCATGCTACAGATCGGCACAACACAGGCGGTTGTGGCGCGGACGATGAATGTTTCTCAGTCTGTCATAAGCAGGCTATGGTCCAGATACCGTGATACACAATCTGTACAGGACAGACCACGCTCAGGTCGACCAAGGGCGACAACTCAAGCCCAGGATCGATTTATCCGTACCTTGGCTTTGAGAAATCGTGTCATCACAGCAAATCAGATCAGCGCTCGTCTTCAAACAGACACTGGTGGGAGAGTGAGTGGCCAGACAATTCGGAATCGACTGCATAGGGGTCACCTTCGCGCCTGACGTCCTCGCATGATCCCTTGTTTGAGAGATCATCACATTCAGGCAAGACGTCGTTGGTGTAGGGATCGTCAACACTGGGATAATTGACGCTGGAGCAATGTGATGTTTTCAGATGAGTCAAGGTTCACTGTTGATTTTTTGGACAGACGTAGGAGGGTGTGGCGTCGTCGAAACGAGCGCTTCCAAGACGTTAACGTCATCAGACATGATCGATTTGGGGGTGGTTCTGTTATGGTGTGGGGAGGCATCACTGTTGCTGGAAGAACGGCTTTACATGTTGTTGCAGGGCGTGTTACAGGCCAGTACTACCGGGACAACATCTTGGCAGTCCATGTTGTGCCGTTCGCACGACGTCATGGCCGCCGTTTCATCTTCCAGGATGACAACGCAAGATGTCACAGGGCCAGGATCGTTACAGGTTACCTCCAACAACAGAACATCACCACATTACCTTGGCCAGCACTGAGTCCCGACCTCTCCCCCATCGAGCATGTCTGGGACATGCTTGGACAGAGGTTACGTCAACGTCAACAACGTCCTGCCAATGTCCAAGAACTTGCTGCTGCGTTGCAACAGGAATGGGACAATCTGGACCAAAATGACCTTAGACGTCTCATTAGGAGTATGCCACGTCGGATCAATGCTTGTTTGGCAAACAGAGGAGGATTTACCCGTTACTGACTTGGTTGTGATGCTGTGGTAACTTTGCTGTTTGACCCCGGGTATCATTTTACCCTTATAATGGTCAGTATGTGCCTTACTTAGTCTAACGATCATTTGGAATAAATCGATGAATGTGAACTTCATTTCATTTTGTCATTTGTTTCTTCGTCAGTTTCATTAGGTGACTTTAATAACACTTAAAAATCAAATATCCCCTACTTTTTTTGAATAGTATAGTATATTGCTGGCATGCACATGAAAACTTTGTGCAACTTCTGTTAAATAAAGCCAAAATCTTCTAGTATTATAGTACATTTGTAATGAAATACTATTTGCTCTTCTGTTGTAAATGGTCATTGATTTGACCAGAGAAAACGAAATATTTATAATATTCCTGTTATTATATTTTTTTCAGGAGGTTTTACATGTGGCTCAAACTGAAATGCAGCTTGCAGCCTCCTCTGCATTTTTACAGATACTTCAACAACAGATAGTACCAATACAGAATTATACTCAAACATTCCTACAAACTATATTAACTAGTGTAGAAAGTAAAGATCCAGGTATATCATTATATACAATGTCATATCAGTGAACAAAATTGATCACCTTATTCATATGTGAACATTGAAACTCCCTAGAACCTTGGCATTCTTGACATTTTAAATTTCTCAAACAGATAGCTTGCAATATCACTTTCCAAGAAAAGTTATTCTTTTTATACGCCCATGTTAAAATGTGGTTGAATATTGTCGTCCTCCCCCCCCCCCCTCGTCTGTCTACCCGGTGTCTGCAATTGCTTATGGACATTCTAGGGGCTAAAGTTAATGAGCTCATGAGAAGAGATTACTGCCAGAGTTATGTCCCTTGATCATTTTAAAAAATCACGTCACTTTGGAGGCTAAAGTTAATATCCGATGGACTTTAAAATTATTCACAGTGTTAAAAGGTCATGAGACATGTTATTTTACTAATTAGATGAAATAAGTCAACCACAATGTACTTTTGCCCCTTAAAATAAGAGAAAAACTGCCTTACCCCAAACAATAACAACTCTGCCAACACCATCCAATTCTATGTTGTTGGCATAAAATCAAGGGACATGACTATTTTGAAGTGAAAACATAGTTATTTGATGGAGAGAACAACAGTTTTATAGCTGCTTTGGATACATTTTGGAACGATAGTACTAGACTTTATGATGCAGAAAAATATTTGGTGTTTCTACACTGTTGTGCAAAACATTTCACGAAAGAAGAAAAAAAAATGATTGGCGTTGGTAGATTTGTTATTATCCCCCGCTTTTGAAGAAAGCAGCAGACTATTAAAATGGGCTCGTCCGTCTGTCTGTCCGTCCGTCCGTCTGTCCGTCCGTCACTCTTTTTGGGACACAATAACTCTTTTTCTAATTGAGCTAGAATGTTTAAGCAGAGCGATAAACAATTTGATTGGTCGAGACTTTGGAACACAATAACTATTTTTATACGTCCACATTCATAATGTGAACGTATTATGCCGTCGCCCCTGTCTGTGTGTGTGTGTGTGTGTATGTATGTATGTGTGTGTGTGTGTGTGTGTGTGTGTGTGTCTGTGGTTCGCCTACAGGGCGCAATTCTTCATGGATTTTCTTCAAACTTGGTATACTTATTCCTTATACCCCAAGGAAGATCCCTATTGTTTTTGGTGCATGCCCGACCCCCCGGGGCAGAGCCACGCCCATTTCTAGTATTTGTTTGTTTGTCGTCTACAGGCCACATTTCTTAACTAATAATCTTGAAACTTTGCATACACATTCTTTGTACCCTAAGGAACATCCCTATCGTTTGGGGTGCATGCCCAACCCCCAGGGGCAGAGCCACGCCCATTTTCTTTTCGTGTGTCTTTGTGTCGCCTACAGGGCGCAATTCTTACTGGATTTTCTTCAAACTTGGTATACTTATTCCTTATACCCCAAGGAAGATCCCTATTGTTTTTGGTGCATGCCCGACCCCCAGGGGCAGAGCCACGCCCATTTCTAGTTATGACTTGGAACAGCTAAAGTTTTATAAAGTTCTGCCCCATGCTAACGTTAATACTGTATCATGGGGCAGAACTTTATAAAAACCAAACAAATTCTAATGGTTTTCTGAGTTGTTGCTCTTAATCAGATTTTAGTGTATTATAAATGTTTCATTACCGAAAAAAGTAAAAATATGCGACAACTCTTGTTGACTGCCCGGACGATTTAGCTGCTGTGGGTGTATGTTTCGTTACCTGGCAACCTATCTTTTTATATGCAGCTACATCATATAAAAACTATTGTTTTTATTTGTATCATTGTTGTTATTTTTGCACGCTTTTTAGGAGAAGTACACATTCGACTCAAGACGAAAATACACCAATATTAGACACCAAAGGAAACTTTTTATACGCCCACATTTTTATGTGGACATATTATACGGTTGCCCCGTCCGTCCATTAACATTTTTATACGTCCACATTCATAATGTGGACGTATATTGCCGTCGCCCCTGTGTGTGTCTGTGTGTCGCCTACAGGCCACAATTCTTAAGTGTTCATCTTGAAACTTTACATACTTATTCCTTATACCCTAAGGATGATCCCTATTGTCTTTGGTGCATCCCCGAACCCCAGTGGCAGAGCCTCGCCCATTTTTTGTATTTGTTTGTTTGTCGTCTACAGGCCGCATTTCTTAACATATCATTTTGAAACTTTGCATACTTATTATTTATACCCTAAGGAACATTCCTATCATTTGGGGTGCATGCTCAACCCCCAGGGGCAGAGCCACGCCCATTTTCTTTTTGTGTGTCTGTGTGTCGCCTACAGGCCACAATTCTTAAGTGATCATCTTGAATCATTACATACTTATTCCTTATACCCTAAGGATGATCCCTATTGCTTTTGGTGCATGCCCGACCCCCAGTGGCCTAGCCACGCCCATTTCTTGTATTTATTTGTTTGTCATCTACAGACCGCATTTCTTAACGTATCACCTTGAAACTTTGCATACTTACTCCTTCTATCCTAAGGAACATCACTATTGTTTGTGGTGAATGCCCAAGCCCCAGGGGCAGAGCCATGCCCATTTTCTTTTTGTGTGTCTGTATGTCACTTACAGCCTTCAATGCTTAATGGACCCTAAGCCTGACCTCTATTATTTTTGGTCCATGCCCGACCCCCAGGAACAGAGCCACGCCCAATGTTTATGTGCCTTTTGTGTCGCCTACAGACCGCAATTCTTAACAGATCCTTTTAAAACTTTGCATACCTATTCCTTATACCCTTGGTGATTGCCCAACCCCCAGGGGCAGAGCCACACCCATTTGTTCTTAGTGTTTCTGTGAGTTGCCTACAGGCCATGATTTTTAATGGATTGTCTTTGAACTAAGGATATGCATTCCTTAAGGACAACAACTGCATGTCCTGACCCTCAGGGGGCGAGCCACGCCCAATTTCTGTGTTTATCATTTATAAGCCGTAATTCTGAATGGATCAACTTGGTACTTGGCATATGTATTCCTTATAGCCTAAGGGCGTCAACTATTCATTCTGGTGAATGCCCCGCCCGCCAGGGGCAGAGCCACGCCCAATTTTTGCCTGTAGCGCCCAAAGGCCACAATTCTGAATGGATTATCTTGGAATTTGGACATTATTTGGTATACTTATTCCTTATACCCTAAGAATGGAAACTATTGAGGTTGTCATTTCAATAACAGGGTGGTACCTATTTATATTGTTCCATATCCCACCCCCAGGAGCAGAGCCACACCCATTTTTTGTATTTATCGTCTACAGGCTGCAATTCTGAATGGATCATCTTGGAACTTTTCATATTTATTCCTTATACCGTAAAAACAGCAACTATTTATTTTGATGCTTCCCCCGACCTCCTGGGGCAGTCTCACACCCACGTTTTTGTTAGTATTTTGTCTGTAAATTTGGCAAAACAAACCCAATGCCTAGCCTTCTTTGCCTCCTATCATATTACAGCCATCTCATATTTCATTCTCTTCATTTTAAAAAGTACCATATCAATCAAAGCTGGAATGTGGACGTATATTGCAGCGTTAGCAATGCTCTCGTTTTAATTGAGCTAGAATGTTCAAACTTGTTGTAGGTGTTTATTCGGTCAATGCCTTTGTGGAGTTCAAAGATGAGCATTTTCTGCTTAGGGTAAGCAGAGATAAGCAATTTGATTGGTTGATGCTTTGGGACACGATAACTTTAGTTCTAATTAAGTGAGAGTGATGAAACTTGGTGTACAGTTTCATTATTCAATACCTTGACTAAGTTCGATAATGAGCATTTTCTGCATAGGGTAAGCAGAGCGATAAGCAATTTGATTGGCTGAGACTTTGGAACACAGTAACCCTCCTTCTCATTGAGCTAGAATGTTCAAACTTGGTGTAGGTTTTTATTAGGTCAATGCCTTGATGAAGTTCGAAGATGAGCATTTTCTGCTTAGGGTATGCAGAGATAAGCAATTTGATTGGTTGATGCTTTGGGACACGATAACTTTAGTTCTAATTAAGTGAGAGTGATCAAACTAAGTGTATAGTTTCATTACATCATTGATCAATACCTTGACTAAGTTCGATAATGAGCATGTTCTGCTCAGGGTAAGCAGAACGATAAGCAATTTGATTTGTCTATACTTTGGAACACAATAACTCTCATTCTAATTGAGCTAGAACGTTGAAACTTGGCGTAGGTGTTTATTAGGTCAACGCCTTGATGGAATTCGAAGATGAGCATTATCTGCTTAGGATAAGCAGAGATAAGTAATTTGATCGGTTGATGCTTTAGTGCACGGTAACTTTGGTTATAAATTATTATAATTAAGTGAGAGTGATGAAACTTAGTGTATAGTTTCATTACATCATTACCTTGACTAAGTTCAATGATGATAATTTTCTGCTTAGGCTAAGGAGCAATAAGCAATTTGATTGGTCAAGAGTTTGGAACATAACAACCCTACTTTTAATTGAGGGAGAATGTTTAAACTTGATGTAGAAGTTGATTAGGTGAATGTCTTGACTAAGTTCAATGATTAACATTTCAAGCTAAAGCTAAGCAGAGCTAATCAATTTCATTGGTCGATGCTTTGAGACAAGATAATTTTTATTCTATTTGATAGAGAGTGATGAAACTTAGTGTATAGTTTGATTGCTAGATACTTTTGAAAAAAATAAATGTGCGATTAATTAAAGATACATTATTGGAGATAAGATAAAGAGATGGCAGTTCTCGCTATAATAGTTAAAAACTAGATAGTGTAAAAGTAATTTGCTGAAAATTTCAGTCAAATTGATCCACTATGAGCCGAGAAAGAAGCCGGTGAAATTTTTGCATAGTCTGGGTTATCATTACTAAAATCATTAATATAAACAGCATAGTCTTGATTATCCACTTTTTCTGATTTAATTATCTTTGGCCGTTAGTGGCATATAGGAATCTAATCCAGCCTACATCGAAGGCTGGCCTTGACATCGAGAGTTTATTATGGTCTGGATAAGTTAATTAATGTCTAATTGATAATTTAGATAACATTTCAGGCCTA